GGCTACATGCTCAGACTGAATCCTCAGACTGAAATGAGCTCCTGTGTCCTCCTGATTTATATTCCCCTCTCTGCCCAGTCATATCACTCCTGTCTCCACCTCCCTAGAGCTGGGAATAAAGGTGTGTGCCACCACTGCCTGGCTTCTAAGGCTAACTAGTGGCTTAACTCTGCACTCTGATCTTTAGGCAAGCTTTATTTGTTCAGATCACAAACAAAATATTGCTACAATACCCTTTAACTGTGACCTCTCCCTTCGCTGTCAAAAAGAAAACAAACCAAAACAACCCCCCAACTCTTTTCTCCTTAAGTTGCTCTAGTAGAGCCTTTATTCCAACAACAGGAAAAGAAAGACAAAGTGCCATATTGCTCCAACTCCATAGTGCCCTGTTCCTGGCCCCGACATTCTTTCTGTATGTGACAGTTTGCACAGGTCAATGTTCAGGGGTTAGCATGATCATCAGTAGCCATCAGAGCCTCATCAGGAGAGGAGCTAAACAGACACTGGGTGGAGGTCTGTCTCCTTTTCAATGATGTGCCACTGTGTATTGGCCTTGGAAGGTCAATAACACCCTGTTCAACATGTGACACATCTTGTCTAGGAGTACAACCATATATTTAGGGTTGTGGAAAAGGGCCCTAATGATGGGGCTTGAGTCTCTGGATTCAGCCATACCTGAAACTGGATCCTAGGAGGTCCCAGGTACGTGCGTGCATGTGTGTGTGTGTATGTGTCTCTCTCTGTGTATATATATATATATATATATATATATATATATATATATATATTTCCCCTTAAGCTAATTTAAAATGTGTTTTTATCTCCTGCAACTTACAAAGGTCCTGTCCTATTCGGGTCCCTTTAGCCACTATGACTTGGTGCTCCTGAGCTGAATGAAAGATTGCTTTATGATGAGTCGGAGTGTAAACCCTTCATAGGTTGCAAAGGACTTAGAAGGGGGCAGGGAATCTCTGGCTGGCAAAGGCAATACAGTGAAACAAGGAGCTGTTAGGGGGTGAGCCCCCAGGCTGGCAGGGCAGGAGAGGGTGGTGGCGAACTAGTAACTGAAGATGCACTCTGAGAAGTTCAGTAATGAGCATGAGACAGGCTGAAGGGAGAGCCTAGTGGTCCACACAGGTAAGGTAGTGGACTGTGGGAGACATCTCTCTCTGCCTAAGCGAGCTGAGGTGTTAAGCGAAAGCAGCTGCCTGTAGATTCAGTCTCTGCGAGGACAGATGGAAACCAGGTCTCAGCTAAAGCAGTGCTTCTCAACCTGTGGGCTGTATATCTGGTATCCTGCATAGCAGATATGTATATAATGATTCATAATAGTAGCAATCTTACAGTTAGGAAGTAGCAGCAAAATCAGAAACCGTATCAAAGGGTCACAGCATTAGGAAGATTGAGAACCATGGAGCTGATGGGTCTGGTTGAAGACTCAGAGCCACGGAGAACATGCAAAGAACTCGGAGAGGCAGAGGCAATGCCTACTACTCGTGAACACCAGTCTCTTTCTGTCTCCAAGGCAGCCCCTCTTTCTTCCACGTGGGCACTTTCTTCTAAACTAGATTTTGAACAATCTGAGCAGGAGGTGCCCAACACCAGCGCAAAGGGTTAGAGCAGAATGCCTTTGAGTATGGATGTGCAGACAGGACCCCAGAGCCAACCAGAGCCCTCAGGGCGAAAGGTGACCTCTCTCTGTGCTCAAGTAAAAGTGACACCAACTGCCCTCTTACCCACCCAGTTCAGAACAGAGCAGCAAATGTACCTGAGTGCCAAAAATGTCCCCTCCCTCTCCGAGTTGGAGAGATGCACCTGGGATGGGACAAGTGGAGACACTCACAGTTGGACACAGGCCTCTTGGGGCTCTGGTTCTCTTGCAGCCTTTGTTCCCAGATGAGTCACTGTTTAGAGGGCAAAGTTAGCCTCACTGCAACCCTTGACACCGCTCCAAGCTTAACCCCCAAGGAGGTCTCATTTTATGGCAAACTGGCACACTAGCCTTAGGAGGTTGGTACCCCCCCCCCGAAGGTCCTGGTAGGAAAGGGACAGCATCTGGCCAGTGGGCTGTGGTCAGAGTGGGAGCGGTTCCCGTATGGAGGCTCAGGGTGCTGTTCACTTCCTTTGCCCTGGCTTTCTCATCGTGTATACCCTCTGGCTGCTAGCCACACGCTCCACCTGAATTCAGACTGGCACAGCACACTGACAGCTGGGTAAAGTTGCTCTGCCCTAGTCAAGGTGAAGGTCACAGCTGGAGCTGCCAGAAGCAGGCCGGCCAGCTGTGGGTGTGCCCTTATTTTTCCTCCCACACCCAAGGCAATACAGAGGCTCATTCATCCAGGCAGGGCAGGGCACGGCCATGTGAATGTCATACTCTGTGCCTACAGAGACGGCAGAGGCTTTTTCCCTTCACAGAGACAACAGTTTGCAGTTAGAGCTTTGCCCTTCCTCTGAATCCCGGGTCAAGAGGGCAGGCTGGGCACACAGAGAGTCCCTGGTCTGTGGTCAACTACGTGGACATGATGGCACTTGGGTTTTTTGTTTGTTTTTCTTTTTGCTGGTTTTGTTTGTTTGATAGGGTCTCATGTATCCCAGGCTGGTCTTGAACTTGCTATGTGTTGAGGATGATGACTTTGATTCTTCTGCCTCTATCTCCTGAGTGCCAGCATGCCTGGTTTACACAGTGATTGAACTCATGATTTCAGGCTTGCTAGGTAAACATAACTAACAACTCAGTTACACCTCCTGCCTTGACATTCCCTTTGGAGACAGGTCTGAGGATGCTGCCCAGGCTGGTCTGAAGTTCATGAGCTCAAATGAAGGAAGGAAGGGCCTGCCTGGGACGGAGGCTGAAGCAGGGCCTAGTGGAGACAGCCTATCTTCCAAGATTCAGACTTTTGGGTCAGAGGTGGCCCTGATCCTGTGGCCTTGATCTTGCTGCTCTTTCTGAGGCTACGTGTTCCCTGCCAGGGCAGGTACGGCTAAGTCTGCATAGTCCAGCATAGGTAGGCTTAGCTCTGCTATCTTTAATCATGGCAGACACACACAGACATTCTCCATACTTCAAAACTAAATCACACTCCTGTACGCGTCCTTCAGCCTGTCCAGTCGCCTCAGGCAAACCAAGTCTAGCCTTCCAAGGTCTTTATCCAAAAACCTTCCGGAAGGAGTGCCAGTGAGGAGGTGTGGCTATTCACACCACACATGCAGGTAAGCAGGAAAAGAACCAAAACACATAAAATGCTAACTGTCTCTGATACCATAGTAGTCTGCATACTGAAACAGTTCACGGTGGAGAGTATTAGGGAAGAGGAAGGAGAGCAGCGGGCCGGGGAGGGGATGGAAGGTAAGGGTCACAAATACACTCAAAGTGTATGATACATGCATGAAGATGTAATTAAGCCCATAATTTAACAGTGAATACACACCAAAGACAACAATTGTGGTGGTTTTGAATTCCGTTCCCTTCACATCCTAACCACTCCTGGGACTTGTGGACTTTTCAGGTGCCACCGTGGCTACGGCAGCCAGCATGGCTAGTGATGGAGACTTTGAGATGCTCACACATCACTCCCCAGAGGCACCGCAGGATGAGGAACGGCTGAGGCTTAGAGTCAAGAACATTTACGAGGGGTGTATGCTGCTTCTCAGCCTTTTCTCCAAGAACAGTCCTAACTTTGGGCAGATGCCTGGCTTTAGCCGAGAGCCTCATCCAAGAACATTGTGATCTCAGTCCCCACTGGCTGCGTTCCAGGACCCTGACACTGAGAACCTCCCAGGTCTCAGTAGGGGAACACCACATAGCTCCAACGCCACGACCTTTCTCAGGTCACTCTGCACGCCTGTGTGGTGTGTCCCACCCTAGGTCTGGAACATTCTTCTTATGACTTCCACATCTGTTGATGGGAATGGCTCCTAACTGAGGAGGCAGCAACAGTGGCTAGTGCTTGGTCACGGGATGCAGACAGGGTCTCTGTTGTGTTCAGTGTGGCTCTGGGGTATTCCTGGCCTGGGCCCTTTCCTGTTTGGAGACAGGACAAGAATCCAACCACACCCGCACGAGTAAAGAGAGAGGAACAAGACCAACAGAGTGTGTGGTACTTTTTATTCAGTCTTTAAGTTGTGCTTCTTATTAAATGTGACCTTCGCCGAGCTCCAGTCTCACAGTGTGTGTGGTGACCTTTGTGTGCGCACAGCGTGAGTGAGTTCCAGTGCCATTTCGATTCAAACCCACACTCCGGCCACTTCACTGACTGTAGAGCATCTCAGGCACACAGCCTCCATAAAGGGATGCTGGGAGAGAGCCAGTTCAAACGCAGAGAAAAGACATGTTCTTAACTGAAATAAAATTAGTACATGGCCTTGTCTGTGTTCCATGGTGCTACAGAAACACATTTAAAAAGTTTTTTTTTAAATCTCTTTTAATCAAATAAGCAAATCCAGAAAAGTAAAAATCTAAGGGCCTCCATACTATCAGGGAATATTATAAAAATAATCTGACTTCTGTGACTGGAAAATGCAGGTTACAGGGGCTGCACGGAAGCAATACACCTGAACCGTGGACAGAAGGCAAAGGGCCCTGCTAGGGAGTTCTCTGCATGGAAAACCCACTAGAGGCATTTACGCTGGAGAACACATTCCCTTCCTGTCTCTGGGTGGAGACATATGTGGCCAAAGACAAGAACGACGGCAGTTAAGGGTCATGGGGACTCAGGCAATGGAGAGCAGACAAGCAGACAAGCAATCGCAGCATTAGCATCTGGGAAATACCACTTTCAAATTCCATTCCAGAGGTTTGAGGTCTGAAAGCCAATCACGGACTTAAATGAATTTTTCTTTCTATGCCTGTGGGGCATAGAGGAGCGCCTCAGTTCTTCTAGCACACAAGAGGGTGTCTGGGAGCAACACTTTCAGGCTTTTTAGCTTCTCACGGAAGACACCGGTGGGCAATTACGGAGTGCAGTTTATTACAGAACAAACTGGACGAGAGAGAACCTTCGGTCATTTGAGAATTTTTATGCATGAATCACTTCCCCCTCTACTGATGAAAGCCTACCACAGCCCTCTGGCCCCATGGTTTGCATCCACTATGACCCCCACCTCTCCAGTCACCACAATGCATTCTTCCCACGACAACAGATGCTCGTGAAATACCCCCACACTCACCGACTCTCCCAGGGGTGCACAGAGCAGTGCTCTACAGCCACCTGTCTGTATCTCTCTTCTGAAAGTCACACCCACGGATGCTCTCTGCCCCCATGGCCCTCGCTGACCTCACCTGGTCCTCAGCTGCTCCCAGGCTAGCCATCAACAGTGGGAATGGGCATGAGCCCTGGATCAGGCTTGGGACACAATGAGGGACAGTGAGTGGAAACTGAGCACTGTTCCTCTGCAGCGAGGAGGGAGCAGACAGAGGTCAAAGTGTACACACATACAGCCTTGTCTCCCGTCTCTTTGGTGTCTGAAAAATCCTGTCTAAATGAATACACATAGACATGGTTCCCTCCCCGTTCTGTCTCAAGAGACACTTGTGGTCCTTCTACTTGGTGACCTGGGTGATCCAGGGTCCAACTCTGGAATTACACTTGCTTTGATCAATGTTTAATATAATGGCTGATTCCATATAAGCAATCAGAGATTTGATTAAAATGAATATATTATTCTAGATTGATTTTTTTCCATTCAAATGTTTATATTCCATCTACCCTGAACAATCAGCTGAGGAAACAGGCACCTCCAAAGCCTCCCCAAGAGTAGAAACTGTTGAAACAGCATTGTACACACTGGACAAGGGAGACAAACAGCCGTCAGGGCAGGGGCCACCTTCACGGGGCTGCTTTCTTCAAGTCTCGAATCTGTTTAATCAGGTAGTTCTTCTCGTCAGCAAACTGCTCGTCATCTGTCCTTTCTTTCTGGAAGCTGCTCAGAAATTCAATGAGTTTGGGCTGATTTTTTAACAGAATCTCCACAATAGGCTGCGTTTTGTGAGGGCTGGCCACGAACACCTAAAACAGAGGGAAACATTTCAGCAATGTCTTTCTGGAATGATTCACACGCCACCGACAGGAACATGACTCAATAATGCTTGTTGCTGGTTTCCTCCATCACCAGCCTTGGGGCGTCTGCTTCCTCGACAGGAGGGAGCAGCGCAGCTCCCCCGAGAAGGCCATGGTCTCCCTGGTCCCTACAGCTCATGATGGAACAGTCTCTAGCATTGCTACCCACAATGCCTCAATCCCTAGAAGGAAGAGGCTCCCGAGACTTCTACCCAGTAGGTCCAGAACCATAAGGAGACAAGGCTTTGGCCTCCTGGTTACACAGTATCTTAGGTTCTTCCTAGCCACCAGAACAAAGAAAGCACAAAGGTGATTAGTAAACACCTTAAGACAAGTGAAAATGAAAATATGAGAAACAGCACTCAGGCAGGCAAATCGTGGCTGTAAATGCCTACATTCTGAAGAGAGTTAACTTCACACTTTAAGAAACTAGGAAAAGCAGTGAATCGAAGCAATAAACAGAGGAGCGAGACAGAGGAGAGAAATGACTAAGCCAGAAACTGGCTCTTGAGATGAAGCACCTTGACAGGCCTCTGCCTAGACTGTTAGGAGCCGGATTCTGAAAGGTTAAACTTAAGAGTGGAACACTGCTAGCAAATTGACTGAGACCAAAGCTGACCAGCAGTGGTCCAGGCCAGATAACGCCTAGTCCCTGGTCTCCGTGGAGGCTGCAGAGAACGTGAGGCCAGCACTCCTGTCCCCTCCTCACCCAGTCCCTTCCTCCAGCCACAGGAAGACACTGTCTACATTTAGGGTGGGGCTTTCCACCTCAGACAAACTGATCTAGGTAGTTCCTCACAGACGTGCCCAGAGCTTTGTCTCTTCTGTTATTTAGGTCCTGTCAAGTGGACAAGCAATATTAGCCACCACAGATAGCTGAGAAAGATATTTAAATTCCTCAAGAAATAGAAAGTTTCAGCAAACTTATTATAAAAGAGATCAAGTCAGTAACCGAAACCCACAACAAAGAAAAAGCCCAGGCCTGCTGACTTTCACTGTTAAAATTTCTATCGAACATTTAAAGAAGAAAATGAATGTAGTGTTTCTCAAATTCTTCAAAGGAGGAGGAGCATTCCTAGCCCATCCTATGAGGACAGCAATGTCTTGACATAAAGCCAGACAAAACAAGGAAGAGAGCTCTCAAAGGCCAATATCCCTCATGAATGAAAAGGCAATTAACAGAGTCACACAGAGCAACCAAGTGGAACTTAGTTCCTCATAAGACATTGAAACACCAGATGTACTGTGTTCCCCATCCAGATTCATTTACAGCCCAACCCTCAGCACTGACGGTGTCATTTTCTATGGCAACATGAACGTTACAGATTCATCAGTCTCAGATGATGTCATACTGGGTTAAGGGACCCCAGTGTCACGACTGGTAACAAGGAATTTCAGATACAGAGGTGCATGGGCACAGAGAGGAATGGAGTGATGTGTCCACGAGGAAAGACTGCTGGCAAGCACCAGGAGCTAGGAGAGAGGACAGAAGGATTCTCCTTGAAGCCACCTTAGCCTTGGACTTCTGGTCTGCAGAAGTGGGAGAGAATACATTCTGCTCTTTGGTACTCTGTCATGCCCTAGGAAGCTGATGTCACACCGAGTAAATGCAGGAAAACCATACGGTTATCTCAATTTTTTCAGAATTTGACAAAGTTCAATACTTTTCAGATAAAAAAATATTACAGAACGAAGCTGGGTCCTCACCTCACACCCTAAACAAAAATTCTTAAAAATGAACCAAAGGACTAAATATAAGAGCTACTGGGACATTTGGAGAAAACTACAGAGGACGCAGTCGTGACCTTGCCCATCAGATGAGCGGCCCTGAAGTTAACTCTTTGGTATAAAGGACCCTGTTAGGAGGGAGGGAGAAAGTATCTGCAAGTCATAGATCTTATGGATCTCACATCTGAACTATGTAGCTCAACAAGGCATAATCTATCCACGGAGCAAAGGACTTGAGTAGAGCTTTCTCCAAGGAGAAATAAAAGTGACCAGTAATCCACAAGAAAAGAGATAGGGCAATGCAGGCCACACTGCCGTGGGGTGTACAGGCATTGAAATATAAAACAGAAAACGTGTGCCGAGCACAGGAGACCCTGCAAACTGGGATGCACATGGTGTAGCTGCCATGGAAAAGTCTGGCATCTACCCGGTCAGCTAAGCAGCGAGGGACCGTGTGACTAAAGCATGCTGTCAACCCAGGCAAAAGGAATGTCCAAATAACACCCGTGTTCAGTGCTGACTGCAGGAGCAGTCACCAGCCCAAATGTTAACAGCCCGAGGACCCACCAACTGATTAATGATACCACGCCATGGGGTCTGCCATGGACATCACAGGAACAATGTGTTGAACAAGACACAACATGGATTTGACTCCATGTATATAACTGTCAGAATAAGCGGATCCAGAATGAAGAGCAGCCTGGTGGCTTCCAAGTGTAGCGGAGAAAGGAATGGAGAGGCTCCCTAGTGCACAGGCCTTCCTTTTGGGGTGCTGGAACACCCTGATATAACCTGTGTGTGTGGGGGTGACAATTCTAAACACAGCTCTGCCTTTTCTGCCTGCTGTTCACACAATACCTGTCACGATCTGGCCTTTTCTGGTTGACATTTGTTTATAGGAGAGCTGCTAAAGTTCTCACTACAAACGGCCTGGCGTTCTGTGGGAACTACAGAAATAACTCACAAAAGCTCTGCTTACAAAGGAGAGAGACCAGCGCACTGGACAAACCAGACAGGCATGCTGGAGGAACTCTAGAGCCCACAGCCTAGACCCAAACCTGCAGAAACGGTCAGGAGCTTGCAAGCTTCAATATTGTCCCTTTTATTTCTGCTGATGACTCCTGAGCCCCCTGTTCAGAAGGCAGTTGGTCACTAGACTCTCACACTGCCACTGTCTAAGGCTTTACTGGTGGGGTGGCAGGACCACCAGCTGACGTGTAGGAGACCTCAGGGTGGAAACTCAGTGCTGACTGATGTATACTGAATAGCTGTTGTAGCTCCCATCCTACATGCGATTTTCAGAGTCCCGCTAAACCATTGTAAACACATGAAAACTGCCTGCTGTGTTTTGGATTGTTGTCTCATGGCCTGCATCCCTCAGTTTACATGACAGGTCTCAGAAATGTAATTTACAGAGTTTTCAAGCCCAAAGGAAAAGGCAGTAGCCACATTCAAATATTTAATTCAGGAAACAAAATATTTTATTCTTCATTTTAGATTCGAATGCTTCTTATGAATATTAAACCTTGCATACATCTTCACTGATCTCATCCAATTTTTTTTTCATCAGTAAGGATTGGAGCTGATGAGGCACAGGAGGGTTTTGCCCAGCTTTGCTGTCCACTGGAACACTTTGTACATGTGACATGGAGTTCCACAGAAGTAAAAATAGTCGTTCTTACACACACACACACACACACACACACACACACGCACACGCACGCATGCACGCACACACACGCACGCACACACACCCCTCACACGTGCACACATACACACACAGAGGCACACACATATGCATGCATGCACACACACCCCTCACACGTGCACACATACACACACACAGAGGCACACACATACGCATGCACGCACACACACCCCTCACACGTGCACACATACACACACACACACACACACACACACACACAAACACACACACACACACCAGAAACTGGTGATCTTAGAGACGGCTAGCTTGCTTCTGTTACAGAGTGACTGGCCAAGCTCTACAAGGGAGGTGCCCATGCCATGGATGACTAGGCTCCCTGAGCACCAAGGCAGGAAGCGAGGGTGACAGAGGCCAGCGGCTGGAAATTGACTCCCAGAGCGCTCACAACAGAGACACTGTTCTGTCACTGCTCTCTTGTTGTGAGGAGGAGAGAAACCAGGGAAATGACACGTGAAGTGAGCAGAGCAGCTACAGTGGCGGGGAACTTGTAAAGCACTGGGTTCCATCCCAGCACCACAATAAATAATACTAACTCAGTCCTCCAAACCCCTCCACTCAGACAGATTCACTACGAAGAAAGACTTACGCAGTCTTTCATCTTAAAGAAAACTGAGCTTGCATTTTTTTTTTTTTACACACTGGTCTGTACTCTGTTCTATCATTCTGCATTTTTGCTGTTTTGTTCTGTTTTTGTGGTACCAGGGGTTGAAGGTAACACCTCATACATTACAGTCAAGCCTTCTGCCTTTGAGTCACACACATGCCAGCCCTGTTTTACTTTTTGGGACATTGGTCAGACTGCTCCTGAAACCATTCTATAGCCCAGGCAGGTCTTGAACTCACGATCTTCCTGGTCAGCTGGAGCAGCAACTATTACAAGCCATTACAGGCCTTCAACACAGAGTCTCTGTATACTCGGAGCTGGTCTCCACTTGAACAAAGCCAGGGTGGACTCACTGGGAACTGGCTAGCTGACTTATATATGCCGTAGGCTCTCATCATTACAGGTCTGGGGTAGGGTAGGGTCGGGGAGAGGCTGCTTGCTGTGCTCTCTAGGTGAGGCTTAGAGCACGGATACAGGCAATGGCTACTGCTGGTTGTCAGGCCAGCACTGTGCCACACACAGGCAGATCATGCCTTTGGTTTAAAGTGCGTGCTCTCACCCACAGACAAGAGCAAGGAGAGGGAAGGGTACAGTCACAACTCTCCTCTTCTGTAAAACAGCTTCAAAAGCAAAGAGCAGGTCAAGGGAACAGGAGTGCCTCTGACCTTCCTTCTGAAGTTTTGTTCAGCTTTCTTCATATTGTCCTTGGATGTCTCTAGGAATTCACTTAGAGATAATGAATACATTAATTTGACTCATATAAATCAAGCCTTGCAAGTCTGTTGAACGGATATGAAGCTTTCTGATGACTTGCAGGCCATTTAGGTTTTAAAGTTTTTTAGAACCAATCGTATCGACACATAATTCATATACCATGTAGTCTGTCCATTTAAAAAATATATCCCAACAATTTCTGTATGGTCATAGAATGTATGGTCAACACATTGAACTTTAAGATACTTTTATCAACCCAAAGAAGCCCTACACCCAGCAGCAGTCACATCTACTGTGCCCCCCCCCCTGCCACCTACCTCCTATCAACAGACAGTCTACATCAATGACAATGTAGCTCAGCACGGCGTTCTCATGACCTGTTCGTGCTGTGGCAGCAGTAGTTCCCGGCATGCTTATTGTCAAAACATTACTGAGTTTTGAGAAGGATTAGAGGATGCCATTCCTGCAGTCACCCTCACACAGTCACTGCTGACTTCATTATTATCTATCTCCTTTCTTAAATTGTCACCAAACCACACAGCTGTTTCCCAAATACCCAAGGTCACACTACAGCCCCACAGCTAGGAGATGAGGTTCAGTGGCAGAATGTATGCTAATAAACTTGTCCTTGAATCTCCCACACAAACAGCTTCCTCAGCCACCAAATGAGGGTCCTCCACCTGCCCAACTTTAGGAGCGTGAGAGGCATCTTCTGCCGGGGAAAGCAATGACCAATGCAGACGATGCAATGCTGGCACTGCCCTTGACTAGCAGGTATTCAGATACATCTTGGAGACTTCACACAACTGGGGAGATAATGTAGGAGATGATGTATCCATTCCAAAATTATATCAAAAGCAACCTAAAATTTTCTAGCGCTGAAGTCTACTCAGGTTGTAGAGTAACAGCTAAGCATGCATGAGGTCCTGGGCTCAATTTCCAGTACAGAGAAAAATGGTTATTTTCTTATTCTGTGTTACAGGTACTAAATATGGGCTTCACTTTTTATTCTCCTAAAAATGTTTTGGGACGCTCTGAGTACTTTCACAACACCAAGCAGAACCCTACTAAGCTGTACACTCTACTTTCACGTTAGGAATTTCTTTTTTATTGAAAAATTTATAAAATATATTCTGAATTTGTTTTTCCCCTCCCCCAATTCTTCCCAGATCCTATCCACCCGACTTTACGTTGTTTCTTAAAATCAATCTCTCTCTCTCTCTCTCTCTCTCTCTCTCTCTCTCTCTCTGTCTCATGCACACGCACACACACACAGCAAAGAAAACCTTTGATGACTCTCTTAAGGGAAGCACGTTTTAAGTAGGAAGAAGCAGCGTCTTGACTGCGCGTTCTCACTTCCCTGCTCGGCCTGTGTTAATAACTGAACGGAGCCAAGCAACACCAAATGAGGACAGCATGAAGGCGAGCAGTCACTGTTTAAATCATGCCTTGAACCATTAAACCAGCAGAACTATAAACAGTCCATGTGTTTTGAGACAGTCTCACTAGCTGCCTAGGGAGGCACCAAACCCCTGGACTCAGGCGACTGTCCTGCCTCAGCCTTTGGAGGAGCTAAGATGGTCAGGTATGCACCACCACGCCCAAATACACACTCCTTCAGGTACTGTTACAACATAGGATGTTAGTAAATCATTGCCAGTCCTCAAGCTCACTTAGTCCAGGAATGTCCTTGGAGCTGCTGCCAGCAGAGCAGGTGTTCTGGGGAAAGCTGTCCTCAAGGAAGTGAGTGATTCATGGCTGGTTCTTCAGCAGCTGACCTACGGTCTGGCATTCCTTCCAGAGCGACTGGTAGGAAAGCTACTCCTGTCCAGAGGCACTGTGCACCAACTTTCAGCTGGACTGTCAGGCTGGCTTCTGTACCTGACATTTTCATATACATGTCCGTCTGTAGTAACGGGGGCTTGAGTCTTGTCACTGGCCATATCTGAGTTCCAGTGGCTTTAGGGGTCAGTCCATGCCATGGACAAACCCCTCTCAAGGTTTGGTGGGAAGTGGCAACATAGCCCATTGTTATTGGGGAAACTGGAAAGGAAAGGAGCAGGGAGAGGTGAGCTAACAGCGGCTCAAGTTCTTTTCTGGGACAGCAAGGACACAAAGACACAGGCCTGAGAGCCCAGTAACTTTGTTTTTAATTTAAGCACTTCATTTTCAAATAAGAGAGCAGGTGGATATGCCCATGCCTTCTGCTGGCCCTGGCGCACAACCCAGACTGCTTCTCCTGACTCTCACCCCAGGATTTCCCATGTTGCGGCTGCACTTCCAGGGCCATGGACTTCCTGAAGTGGAGTTGCACAGAATCCCTGAACTCAGCCAGGTAATGGGATTGGCAATGTTGGCCTGAGAAGGCATTTCCAGGAGCCTGTCCCAGATTCTGTAGCTCTACAGAGGACCCTTTGAGGGGAGAGCAACTGTTCATAAAGAAGTGACAAGGTCTGGGCCTTTTGTTTTTCTAAATAGCAAAACATTATTTTTGGGAAGTAAACAAGTCATACTTGAGTGGAAGAAAAAGCTGAGGTGCAGGGTAGGCCCAATTCACACACACAAGTAAACAGTGGTCAACTATTTTTAAATGTTCCTACTCTGTCCACTGATTAGGGAAATGAAATTCGGATTGTCCGAGGACAGGAGCAGGCCATTTCTGGCTGGCAACACACTAAATCTTTCTATATTCATGCTTTCTGAACAAAATGAGACACAGAGCAGCCTGGCACAAGGCTTTCTGTGCTGTCATTCCTCAGGAGAGTCTGAGGCACGTCTGCTGCTCTCTGCCACTTGGGAGTTTCCCGGAACCACACGCTCACACTTTGTTTCACTGTTTGTTTACTGTTCAGGAGACAGTTTTAACACAGAGAAGAATGTAGAGTAAGATGACACGCGGCACCTCAGACACACACAAGCTGTACATCGCCTGTGGGCTGCTTTCAACCACAGTGCAACTGCTGGACACCTCCCCTGTCCCCACTCCTTTCCTCTGTGCCTGCAAATGTATGAACCTAGGCAGAGTCAAGTTTTCAAATAAAAAAAAAAATCAGCTTGTCAATTGTGGGAATAAATGAAATTTTTAAGTTAACATTTTAATTATTCTAGTGGCTTCTTGGAAAATACCTGGAAGCAGAAATACTAAGTTTCTAACTTGTCAAAGCAACCATAGCCTTATAAACTGCTATGCTCTCCACTAAAAGACAAAGAACTCTGTCTCTGAATATACACTTTTAAGACCAAAAATTCCTGAAGCTCACTGAGCTTTTTATGTCTACTCTACACATCAACTTCCAGAAAACAACCTGAAACTGGCAAAAGCTGGCCAGATACAGAGTGTGAACTGCAGTAGTAAGAAATCACTCGGAGCCATTTATCCTAGAATAAAATGCCCAATGACTAAGGAGGATGCCTACTGTTCCGACATTACACATGGCACACATGTTCACGGATGGCACAGCATGATGTGATGAACTAGGATACATTAGTGGGATAATGTCAATACAGCCGAAGGAAATATGTCCATAGTAGTTAGGAGTATGGGATTACAAACTACTTTTACCTTCTATCTGTATATATTTAAGTCTATTATCTAAAATTTCCAGGAGATAGTTTTATTACTCAATGTTAACAAAAAGACCCCCATTTCTAAAGAAGTAACAAATGAACCCTAGGAGCTGGGTGCTCAGGACGTCCCCTGGGGTCAGAGAGGAGACTGGCAAAAGCAGAAGGCAGCACTCAGGTCTTCCATGCTAGCTAATCTCGGATCACACTTGTAACCTGTGGGGGAAAAGAAGTCTTTCTTTTTAATTATGTGTAGGTATGTGTGTCTGCATATGGGCATGTGCATATGACTGCAGGTGCCTTCAGGGACCAGAGGCATGAAATCCCCTGGAGCAGGAATTACAGATGGCAGTGAGCAACCACATATGGGTACTGGAATCTGAACTTCAGTCCTCTGGAAGAGCAGCCAGTGCTCTTAACCTATGAGCCATCTCTCCGGCCCTATGAGGGAAGGAAGCACTGAGCTGCTAAGTATGGTGGCAGAGCCACAAAGCTTGGCCTCGCTGCGCTTCCCATCCTCTTGGCTTCTAGTGAATGCTAAAGAGGCCTTTACCAGGCAGGTCAAACATCATTTACTTTTCAGTGGATTTTAATTTGAAAACAACTGCTTATCTTACTGCACGATACTGCGTGGCAGACCCTCTAAAGTTAGATCAGCTTGTTGCAGATGTCAAACTTCTCTAAAGTTACATGTAAAGACCAGAGGCAAATTTAAATTTGCCCAGTTGTGGCTAGAACTGAAGCAATGGTTTTCTGCAATTAGATTAGTGGAAGAATATAATCTAAGTTTGCAAAACAAAAGAATTATCTAATTTTCTCCCAAGTAAAGTAAAGGAAAAAGCAGATACTTTGCCATTTCACAGCTGAAAAAAAACTCAGTCAGGTATCAGCTCTCTTTACCTTAAAGACATGGAAGGCTTCAAACTGGATGTTAGGACTTTTGTCTCGAAGTAGGTTCATCATCAGTTTCAGGTTCTCTGGCTTGCTGATGTACTTGGTCATAATGGCAAAATTGTGGCGGTCCAGGATTAGCTCACCTAGCAGCTGCAAGACACAAAGCCAAAGCCATTATCTGACTCTTCACATATAGCTCACCAGGACGGAATCAAAACCCAAGGCTAGTGTGAAAAGTTGTGAGGCACCGTAAATGACAGGTGTGTGCCAGGCACAGTAGTGCCTGCTGCAGCCCCAGCTACTTGGGAGGTGGAGGCAGGAAGAGCACTTGAGTCCACAAGCTGCAGACCAGTGAGCATAGCGGGGGACCCTATCTCAAACAAACAAACAAACAAACACAAACAAACAAACAAACCAAGAGATAAAGAAACAACAATCAACCAGTCTGTAGTGATGATGCCAGCAGGCCGCAGCCCGGCTCCCACATGGCTAGCTTAACACCTGAAATAACAACACACAAATTGTATTCATTTAAACACTGCCTGGCCCATCAGTTATAGCCTCTTATTGGCTAATTCTCACATCTTGATTAACCCATTTCTAATAATCTGTGTACCACCAAGAAGTGGTGGCTTACCAGGAAAGATTCTAGCCTACATCCATCTTGGGACAGAGCTTCATCACGTCTGCCTCACTTCCCTTCTTCCCAGTATTCTGTTCTGTTTACTCCGCCTACCTAATTTTCTGTCCTATCAAAGGGCCAAGGCAGTTTCTTTATTAACCAATAAAAGTAACACATAGACAGATGACCCTCCTCCATCACCAGTCAGGCCTGAAAATGATATTGTTGCTATTTCATTAAGCTTTCCTATGGCTTGGCTACGAAATGATTATTATTTATTGTTAATTCTTGAAGCAGTTTTTCAGTCACTTACTGCTCAGCATACTAAGAGATAGCCTGATCCACATCTGCGTCCGTCACCTTGCTTCCCAGCCTCGTACTGTTCTAAGAACATTCAGGCAGAACACAAGTAACAAAACTGATGCAGGAAGTCTTATTTTATCCTTGTCTTAATTTTTTTAAAAATCAGATGTGTTTTATTTTATGTGTAAGTGTTTTGCCTGATTGTATGTATATGTAGCGTATATATGATTGGTGCTTAGAGAGATCAGAGAAGGGTGCTGGATCTGTCTGCCTCTGCTGAGGTAGTGTGTTAGGGGTATGTCACCACAGCCTGGTGCAATATATGTTTTTAACCACAGACTTTTATTATAAAACCTGACCCAAAGCCAAAAAGTAAACAAACATGTATCCTGAATCTATATGAAAAGTTCTCATTCCAACCACCCCTGGAGAGGGAGACAGGAGTGTCGCCTTCCTGAACTAATTGAGGGCAAAGGGCTCTTCAGCCTTCAAGATAAAGCAGCCCTGACTGTCAAGCCAGCAACTGCTTTCCAGCACTAAAGCTGGAACCTTTCTACCTGGCAAACACACAATAAAACAATGCGACACAAACATAACACAAGTAGCAAAGGGAAGCTCTAACCGTGTGGCTTCATTTCATTTTTATCTCTAACCGTGTGGCTTCATTTCATTTTTATCTCTAACCGTGTGGCTTCATTTCATTTTTATCTCTAACCAACTGTGTGGCTCTGTTTATTTCTCTGCTCTCCCATTCTATGAATCTGCGTATCTGTTGTCATTATGACAGCTCTTCAGATTAACTTGGACTCTGGTACAATGATTCCTCTGGCTTCCTTCCTTTTACTCGGGCTATTCTTTAGCTTTGGCTACCTGGGATCTTTGGTGATTCTATACAGAGTGTATTCTTCTATTTGGTACATATTGAAGAAAATATGAGAAATGTTACACATAGCCCAGGCTGGCTTAGAACACACTGTGTAGTTAGGATGACCTTGAAATTCTGATCTACCTCCCTAGTGCTAGGATCACAGGCATGTGTCATAACATTTGGACTATGTACTTTTGGTGACTGAATCCAGAATTTTGTGCACATTAGGCAAGGACTCTACCAACTGAACTAAAAAATCCCCCTACAGTGGAGTTTCATTTAGTCATAAAGAAGAATGAAGTAAGTTCTTTGCTAGAAGTAAGTTGTTAACAACTGGAGATCTCCACACTAAGCTAAACAGATCTGAAAAACAAAAATCACCTGTTTTCTCCCATTTATACAGACACATAAAATCACCTGTATGCACATGTGCCGTGGAGATTAAAGTCAAGACTGGGAAAATGAGGGGACTACAGGAGGTAGAGAGAAATGAGTATGTTCAAAATGTATAATATACTAGTATGTAAATGAATCTTTATGAAGCCCCCATACTACATACAATAAGTATACTATAAAAATTTTTTACATAAGAATTTACACCGATTCTTCAGTAAGGATTTGTTGAGGTTCCATTGATGACTTCAATTGGATTAAGTCATTCCAATTTTATTTTCTGCTCATACAAGCTTTAGCCAGGTGTGTGGTGCACTTAAAAATCCCAGCTGTGGACACAGGAAACAAGTTCAAGGCCAGCCTAAGCTCCATGAGGAAACCCTGTCTTGAAAAACGAAGGGTGGGAGTCTAGCTAGGTGGAGGAGCACGCACAACACGCTCACAGCCCTGTCTCCAGAATCCTATACTCTCTCTCACAGACACACAAAATATCCATGACCTTGAGCTCAATGTGTTCCAAAACTGCTATTACTAGCTTTCCTTAAAATAAGCATGCTCAGGAATGCGTTTTTAATTGAGCATGCTCAGTAGTACACCCACCCCTAAAGTGATTTCCTACATGGATATTCATGGATATGCATAGCTTATATCTCTAACTCAACATTACTTTGGAATTAGTAATTAGGGCATTACTTTGGAATGACTCCTGTGTTCTCCTTAGTGCTGCAGGCAACACATATTTCTCTATTCTTCTATTTTGGGGGGGCCATGCTTATCCAAGCTTTGTGTTAATTAACATGTGAACAATATGTTTAGTTTTTAAAGTCTTTTGGCCATTAGCTGTCAATCTACTTTAATTAGCAGTGACAAGGACAATGGTGACGCACTGCCGTGCAGCACAACACATCACAAAGCCGCACTGTTCTAAGGAAATGGAACACATCCGCATTTTACTTAACCATGAGGCTAGTGTAATTAAGAGGTTCTCCTCTAAAATGTGCTGTTTTAATGAAATTGACCAAAGCGCCAAAAAATTCCACCAAGCTTCTTTTTAATCACAATCTTTCTTGCTAGTAATTAAAGCCAGGCTTCTGAAGGTCAGAAATAAGGTCCTTAGCTCTAGCGCACGAGGGAAAGGAAACTCTCTCTTAATTAATTTTTCCTGGCCCAGGAGTCTAAGCATCCCAAGACCAAAGAAAGTCTAGGAAACTTTAGAACATGACTGACAAAAGGCAGCAGTAGCCAACGCTCTGGAAGCACAAAGTGACTTAGCACTCCAGCCTGTTCATATGATGAAGCTGTTTGCCCCTGCGACTATCTCGCTTCTCATTTCCTACAGCTGGGGACATCACAGACACAACCTTACAGGGTCCGTATTTGTAAATGTGGTTACTGGGACAGCAGCTACTGAGACCATACATCTAATTCCTCAAAGGAAAAATCACGCTGGCATCAGCAGAGCTCCCCAGAGTAGCACTTTTCTCTGAGAAGGGAGCCAGCATTGCTGAGTAAGCTTTACGCTGACATGTGGACCACTTCAGTCCACCACCCTTCAGCTCCCTTGCAAGGGTGGCAGCCGCAGCACTATTTTCAGCAGCATCCCTGCTTCTAAGCCAGCATCTGAAGCCAACTTGCCCTTTCATAGCTCTGCATTTCGACACACACTTTGGTCTGCTCCTCCCCGTCCCATCTAAGCAATGCTCTACTTTACCATGTGTGTCCGCCAAATTTGAGATACCTGGTCTAGAAAGGAATTCGGACAAGAAAAGCAGGTCTCAGGGGAGATTAACGAAGAACAGCAAACAATACTCTTGGGTACACAGGAGCATTTGTAAATCAGTAGGAAAGGGAGAGTTACAGGTGTTTCTGAACTAGGTACAAAAGTCTGCTCCAGGCCTGAAGTGGACGTCTAGGCAGGGGAAGGGCACTGAGGCAACAAGGACAGAGAACTTCTTGTCCACTCTACTGTCCATCACTCTGTTGGAAGGAGGCCACTAGTTGGTTCCTGGCTGCTTTGCCCCGAAATAGTCACACAGAAACTGTATTAATTAAATCACTGCTTGGCCCATTAGCTCTAGCTTCTTATTGGCTAACTCTTATATATGAATTTAACCTATTTTTATTAATCTGTGTATCGCCACATGGTGGTGGCTTGCTGCGGTGGGGCTACATGATTTCTCTCTTGATTCCGCCTTCCTTCTCCCAGCATTCAGTTTAGTTTTCCCCACCTACCTCTGTTCTACCCTATCAGGACAAGCCAGTTTTCTTTATTCATTAATGGTAACCACAGCATACAGGGGGATCCCACATCATCAGTCAGGTGCTGGATGGGTAGGTTCTACTCTTGGGTGCAGATGTGCACTGTTGAAACCAGTTTCATAAGTCCACCAATCCCAGCTTTACCAACAGAACATTGTTAGACCCTTCCAGAAACTGACTGAGGAAGATGAATTCTAGGGTTAATGACTAGCAATATTTACTTGAACAACTTAGTTCGATTCATTGAACAAACACCTGTAGTTCCTACTTCTAGGCAGGGATATAGCTCAGTGGTGCTTGTTGACCCAGGTCCTTGGGTTCCATCCCCCGTACTATAAAAATAAACAAATAGATTAAAAAGCCAGTATGTTCTTACAAGTAAGGCTCTGTTCTAATCTATTAAAATATGGACAGGAAAAGAGGACAAGATGGGGCAAAGCCAGCTAGAGAAAAGAAATGGAGAGGTGGGTGGGGAGACAATCTGCTAGAAAGAAAGGGCAAGACAGGCCAGAGGGAGAGCTTTCTGACTGGGCCTGAGGTCTCAGAGACAGGAAAAGTTTGGTCCGGTTTCTGGTCGTTGCTGAAAATGGTTTGAGGATAACATTTTAGGACCAAGGATAAAGTTCAAAGACCATCATCTTGGGGTGGGGCTGGGAAAAAAAATAAAAATAAAAACAAAGACCCTCATCTTTCCTCTTTTAATTTGGTTCAATCACTTAGTGTCATACAAACTCTACTTTGGCGCAGTATCTGTCAGCCTCACATTGAAAACAGGGACTTGAGGCTGAGCAATGGTGGCGCATGCCTTTAATCCCAGCATTCGGGAGGCAGAGGCAGGTGGATCTCTGTAAAATTGAGGCCAGCCTGGTCTACAAAGCAAGTTCCAGGACAGACAGAGTTACACAGTGAAACCCTGTCTCAACAAACAAACAAACAAACAAACAAACAAAGAGGGACTTGGGAAATATCAAAGGCAGTGGTTCAACTTTCTTAATGCTGTGACTCTTTAATATAGTTCTTCATGTCATGGTGACGCCCAACTATAAAATTATTTTTCCTGATATTTCATAACTGTTTATTTGCTACTGTTATGAATCACAGTGTAGGTGTCTGACATGTGAACCCCATGAGAGGTCTGCTCAGCTCCCAAAGGGGCTGTGATCACAGGCTGAGAACCACTGCTCTAGGTCATCTCTCATGCTGGTCTTTCTTTACTATTCCAGTGCCCCTCCCCTCCAGCACCTCTCCTATACTTTCTCTGGCTGTCCCTCTGTCCCTTATATAGGTCTAAAGCTGTGACAGTAGGGTACATCTTAATTTTCTTGCTAATTTTCTCTGTGACAACTCTGTGTGTGATACATTTCTGTTACTTTTAGCCCCTACTCTCATCTCCCTCCTGTTAAGCCCCATTCATCCCCACAAGTTCTTTTCTACATTCAGGTGTTTCTGTTTAACCAGGGCCATTGATGTGGTCATGGTTTGGAGCTATCCAGTGGAGCTCTGATGGGTACACCAGGAGATACACAAGTAAAAACAAAGATTCCTGTCTCAGAACTTTCAGTAGTGGCAGTTAAGCAGGGGGCTTCAGCACATCTCTGGACATAGTACAACACAGTTTTGAGGTCACTGCTCTGCCTAAGGTCAGTTCCTTGGCCTCAATATGAGGAGCTCTGGAACAGGATGAAGTTTCTCTAAATGGATCACCTTTCATTGGTTTCTACGCAAGGGGACCTCAATAACAAGTGCTGAATGATTGGCTGAAAACTGACGTCAACTAAGTCAGAAGCTGGGACAGCGAAAGCATGAATAAAGGGAAACACAGCGTGACTAACGCAAACCACAGGAGAAGAAATGTAGAAGTCTTACAAAACAGACTTAGTTCATTACCTTACTTTAAAATTGCATCGAATATTGAGAATATATGCACTGTCTGTCCTGTGGTCACCACCATCCTGACATCCCAAGTGAGCTGTGCAGTGACTAGAAGGTATACAACCTGCACGGCTGATGCAGGATTACTAGCTGATAAAAAGGGTTCTGACAATGAAATGTGGTTGGCAAATGCATTTCAGGAAAATAGTTACAACCCTGGGGGAGAGATGTTTCTCCTAACATAGAAGCCCCATGACAGTTCAACGCTATAAGTCTGTATCATAGCTAGAAGCAAAAACATTAGGTTTATCATCTCCAAACTAAAAGCATTGAGAGGAATTTAAACATTTGTGTTTTGTGTGCTATACTTTGGAATTGCCACTTCTCTGAGTGTCCTGCACAGAGATGCAGGAGAGGCACTGGATTGGTTCATTCTGAAGTTTCTGTTGTAAGGTACACTGGCGTGATTTCTAGGGGCTTTTACTGGGTTGTCCTGATAGTCACCCCATCCCAGTCACTGTGACCAGTTTCTTCCTCTTCATCTCTAAAATATTCTCAGAAGAGAACCATGTGGTTCTGCTTAAGTCAGCTTAGGTTTGGTCATCTTCCTTAGTGAAATATTCCACATCTGACTTCAGCATATACTTATCATTCATGTTGCTGTTTCCAGAGTATCTGAAGTAGGACACTTCCATTATTTTGCGGCAAAGCTCAATCAGAGCATAAAAGCATAACTGCTGAATTACTTCTCAAACTGAAGGACCCTGAATTTTCTGTATTTACTTCTGCAGAGTAGACACTGTTTGTTAGCAAGATGCCAGCTTACAAGGACTTAAGAAAATTTGCTATTACCTTTAAAGATTGTCTCTTAGTCACGTAATTCTCCGACTGCAGCAGTTTCTCATACTCTTCAAAGACCTAAGAAGAAGAAAGGAAGTCTGTAAGAGCAGCAGTGTGCCCTCTGCAGCAGGAGTGTGCTCACTCCTCCAGAGGTCCTCAGACCCAGCCCCATCACCGCTGCACACAGAGGGCTCAGCAGCTCACTCCTCATATGGACACAGGACCAGGACAGGAAACTGAAGGCATATGGGATACATGCTGACCATTAGTTCTACAAACCAGAAATTCAAAAAAAATAAAAATAAAAAAACAGAAATTCAGTTGAAAGATAGGATAATTTTGTATCCTCTAAATCTATTAAAAGCTTCAAAAGAACACATTTTAAAGAAATCTGTTTCTGTCATTTGGAGGCTGCAGGTCCACACTTTGAGAAAAGAGTAAACTATACTTAGGCCTTGCTTAGGACTGTCTAATCCATAATGTCAACAGGAGTCAACAGGTGAGGCTTGGGCTATGTAATGACCATATCACTCCTTTTGGCCCGTGTGAACTTTCGCCATTCTCACAAGAAGCCATGACCCCGGGACATGGATCTTCCTGCATCTCATTGCAGTCACTGGTCATGGGCTAGAGCCTTTGGAGCACAGAGCACAGCAGCTGGGGAAGCTTGTTATCCACTTCCCTCCGTTTGTGGGCGCATCATTCAGAGAACATTAGAGCTGGAGGAGCAAACAGACAGAAGCAAAAACCCAGGGGATAAAGAGGGACAGGACAGCCTCAGGGGGCTGAGTCACAGGCTTATGTGCACACCCATCAAAACTTTTGATTTAGAATTGAGAAGTACAAGTATGCAGCTCAGATTAAAGTCACGGCACTATTCTCTTTCATAAGCCATTTTGTTCTCTTGAACGCAGGGAAAATATTATCTATCGCTCAGCTACGGAGGTTCTCCCTAAAAACCCATGTATTGAAAATCTGGCCCCCAGCTTGTGGTGCTATTAAGAATGATTAATAGTAAGAGTGTTAGTTTCTTCAATAGACTAATTCCTTGATAAAGTCATAGTTGAATGGATTTTTAGGAGAGGAGAGATACGCTTCTAAGGGTCATGATCGCTCTATCTCTCTCTCTCTCTCTCTCTGTGTGTATACAGTATACATGTTTACACTGATGGCTGTCTTCTTTGATTACTCTACAGTATATACTGAGACACGGTATTTTATTGAACCAAGAGTTCACCAGTTCAGCTAGTGGCTAGTCTGCTTGTTCCAAGGATCGTCTGTCTGTTCATCTGTTTCTGTCTCCTATGCACTAAGATTGCTGGGGTTCTGCTATGCCCATCTGAGTTTTTAAGTGGGTTCTGGGGACCCAAACTCCAGTCCTCATGTTAAACCTGCTGAGCCCTCTCCTCCAACCCCAGGGGCATGCTTTTGAAGGGTGCATTTTGTCCTGGCTGCCATAGGGTGAGCATCTTTCCATTGCCACATGCTTTCCACTGTGAAGCTCTGACCCACAGAGTCAGTAGCAGAGCCAAGTGACCATGGTCTGAAACCATATTCCAAAATAAACTAAGTTATTCTTCTTATATTCTGTCACAGCAACAAAAAGAAGACCAACACTTGACATTTTATAGATTAATATAGTCACCAGGCAAATTATGTTCACTGTGAATCTAAAATATAAACACAGCGGAGCCAGAGTCCTCCTGGTTCTTTCCCACTGTCCCTCTCAGCCTTTCCTTCTGGTCCAGCTCCATTTCCTTGTGACACCCACCTGCTGCAGAAACATTTTCTACCACAGCCACCATAGAGGGGAACACCCATCCAAAACAGACAAGATCAGATATCTATGCTGAACACAACTCCTTCCAATGGGCAATCTGAACCCAGAGCCATAGGCCTCTAGCCTGGTCACCTAGAACTGCAAATTTCTGGCTTCAAAGGACACAGGCCTTTAGTGCTCAGGTCTTAGAACTAAAAGCCTCTGAGACTGCCAGCTCAGGCCCCAAGCCTTCTATATTTCCTATCTATATGCAGGTTCCATCTAAACAGCCAGCCATGAGTAACAAATCAGAAGTAAAAAGAAAGAAGTCTTAAAAATGACTTTACTTACAGTGTCATAATTTTGCTCTAAGAAGTCCGCTACCAACACTTTGTGTCTGGTTAACAAATCCTAAAAAAGAACAAGCAATGAAGACATATTACTACAGCTAGTGACCTTGCTCATTAAAATGGAGGATAGTCTTTGCTTCTATGGGGTGATAAATCTATTCACTTCAAACACAGAAGTTGGAAAAGAACATTTTCATTTACAAGACAAAATTATTTCCATCCACACCTTAAGATAATGAAGCCCCAGTTTGTTTCAGATTAAAACAATGGCAAAACACTGACTGTCAAATCTAGTGTTTTAAATAGTAGAAATAAAATTTAAGTGGTACACACATCATCTATGAGGTAACTTTACAGAATATTTTTACATTATGATTATAATCAACATCCAAATAAAGTCTGATGATCTTTATCAAGGCCAGTAACTAATCGTCAAGCCCCACCACAAATACAACTTTGGAGAAAACTGCAAAGAACCATGAAGGAACTTCTGGTTGTCTTCAACTCACACCTAAATCACATCCCTATTTCACCCCAATGTTTGGAAAAAGAAAATAAGCCTCATCTAATCTCTTTTATATACTTAGAGGCTAAATACCCAACTTAGGTTATGTGAAAAATTTAATTAAAAACAAATTTTTAACCTGTCCAGAATAAGTATAATACTTTAATACAGTTAATTAAAATTCTCCCCCTCCCTTGACACACAGTAGGTGGGGGGAGGGGCATGTGAGTGGAGCTGCCTGTGGAAGCCAGAAGAGGATACCGGATCCCCTGGAGTTAAGAGTTACAGCTGTGAGCTGTAGGGCAAGGTGCTTGCGACTAAACTCAAGTCCTCTGAAGACATCCCCTGAGACATCTCTCTAGCCCCCTACTTCTATTTAAATAATAAAAAAGGAAACTGTTTAAAGCAGTTTGCACAGCCTTTAAGGGACCTTGTCTGTTGGCTGTAAACACCTTCACTGTATGTGGATGATATGCTGGTGCACTGTGCACTGGTCTGTGGCTTGCTGTGCTTTGGATCATCTCCCCATGGTGCTGAGGATCACCTACACACACCGCGGGGTATGGGGAGGGAGGGAAATGAAGTCTCGCTATGCCGGCTCAGGCTGAACGCCTGGGTGGCAGTGGGACTTGTAGCTAGGACTACAGGCTGTATACACGAGAGCTCAGCTGGAGGAGTGGGGACTTTGAAGGGACCGCATTTCCACTCTCTTTCCTTCTAACTGAAGCGTGCAGCACTGATCCACCACACCCTCACTGCCAGGAGTTTCTGTTTCACCACAGCCCCAAAGTACCAGTCAGCTAACCATGTTCTGAAACTGTAAGTGAAGATGAAGTTTGTGTATCTCAAGTATTTTGCCATACAAAGCTGTGGAAAGGTAACACATGATGCAGTCAGGTAATTTTAGCATATGCATTACCTAATATATTTGCTTATTTGCGCTGATAACAAAAATACACTCAGCGATTTTCACAACACAACACATTGCTATTAACAGGCACCAACATGTTCCATAATAAACCAACATTTATTTGTATGCCTAATGGAAATCTTGTATCCCTGGACCAGCTCTTACCCCAGGACCATTCTGGTTTTTTGCTTCTATGAGTTCAGTATCTTTAGATTCCACATATAAATGATGCCATGATTTGTCTTCCTGTTGTGTCTTATTTACTTACCATAATTCCTTGAGGTTCATCAACGTTGACACAAATGGCAGGGTTTCTTTCTTTTTATAGCTAAATAGTACTCCATTGCAATGAACAACACATTTCTTTTCTTTTGTGTGTGTGTATGATGTGTATATGGTGTGTGCCAGTACAATGCAATAATGGACATCAGTGGACAATTTTGGGGAGTTGTTTTTATTTCGTCTTCAGCCTTTGTTTTGAGCAGTGTTCTCTCATTTCTTAGTAAGCAGAACACTCCAGGGTTCTGGGTGATTCTCCTCCCTCTGCCTCCCATCTCACTACTGAGGTGCTTCCATCATCAATGCATGCTACCACATTTGACTTTTAATGTGGCTTCATTGTGGGGATAAAATTCAGGATGTCAGGCTCGCAGTGGGCCATCTCTCCGGGCACTACATCATCTATGTATTCACTTGTCTGTCAGTGGACACTTAGGCCGATTCCTTTCCCTGGCTATTGTGATCAATGCTGCAATAATTACCCTTCGACACACTTACTTCATTTTCTTTGTCAACACCCATGAATGGGACTGTTCGTCCTATAATAACACCATTTTACATTTCTGAGGTTTGTCCATACTGTTTTCCACAGTACTTCACTATTTTGAATTCATATAAATAATATACAAACATTTATTTTTCTTCACATCTTTGTCTCATGCTGTCAAGACTAGTTTCAAACTCATTATGTAGTTAAAGCTGGTCTTCCTGCATCTACCTCCCAGCTACTGAGATGACAGGCCTGTGTAGCTCAGCAAGCTTCTGTCTTTCTTAGAATACCCTTTCTTGAAGATGAGAGGAGGCTATTTGTAGTTTTATAATCTTCAAGCTCAACCTTTAACTTGACTGAGCCTTTAACCTGACTGGTCCCTTTGCTGATATGGTGAAACTTTTCTTAGTTGAGCAGAGCACTGAGACCTGTTTTGGAAACGGGCTTTCAAGTAGGGAAACACTCTATGGGGCTCCATTCCTACCCAACTGGAGTCCTATCTAATGAGTTCTGTGTCATCCAGGAGACATTAAGCTGTTGCAGAGCATTTGGGGCAATCTCTAAGCAGATATGAGATCTTCATCTGTAGCTGCAGCTACCCCCACATCTGGCAGGAGCCCCTGTGCAGCTTGGGGAATTTTCCATGCTCAGAGAAACAGAAGCTGTATCTTTATGAGTTGCAGCAGACACTGTAAACTGTGCACCTGTGGGGGCTCTCTAACCGCTACATTAGCCTCTGAGCATATGATAAACACATCAATAAACCCTCAAATTCATATATATGGAGACCATGTGCTAACACTGAGGGATCATATCGCATGTGCATGCCTATGTACACGGTTGTTAATTTTCTATAAATCATAATATAATATGAGGGGGGAGATGCAGAAACATTAGCTTGAATCCTACCCAAGAAGGAAACAGTAGAAGCATGCAAAGTAAAAACAAGTAAATTTTAAAAGAATTTTAAATTAAAAAAAAATTACTGAGTGAATTCTTTCATTTTATTTCTTAACAATTTGGTTTGATGGGGAAAGTTCTTCACAGTATCAATATTAATTTTAAAAATCTGCTGTTGACATTTCTAATGAGTCTGCCGTGGAGAAAGTGGTATGAAATGATGAAGACACCTGACAGCAGGGGCGGGTTAAAAAGTCAGTGGGGAGATGCCACCTGCTGCGGTTTCTCCAGATCCCAAAGGAGGAAAATGAAACTCATAGGCTCAATCTACCTCAAGAACCATTATACAACCCATCCTACCACAGAGACACTTGTTTAACCATGTATACTCACTGCTGCTCTATTTACAATAGACAGAAATTGGAAGCAACCTAGATGTCTGTGTATGGATGAACAGATAAAGAAAATAAGCAACATTTACACAATGGAACGACATTCAGTCATTAAAAAATGAAATCATTAAATTCTCAGGTAAATGGGTGAAATTAGAAAAATTATTCTAAATAAAGCTACTCAGACCCAGAAAGACAAATATGTATTTGTTTATATGTGGGTGTTAACTTTTAAGTCATTCATAAGCAAGCGACAACTCCTACAGTCACAGAGTAGTGTGTGAGGGACTAGGGCATAAGGATGGATTCCCCTAGGAAGGGGAGATAGAATAGATCATTAGGGATGGATGAAGAGGGGCCCTGGAACAGGAGGATTAAAACAAGGAGGGAAAGGAAAGAGGGTGGGACAAGGGAGGGAATACAGAGAGGGCCAGATAAAACTAAGCTATTTGAGATGTAATATGAAAATATAATACAGTAGAAGCTTCTTAAAATATATACATATATGAAGGAGTTCTAAATGAAATTGCCAAATAATGGGGGAAGACAAAGACCCAACTGGCCATCTCTTGCTACCAAAGGAAGCTGCCAATACTGGGAATAGGATATATCTAATCGAGTTCTTGGCCAAAGGGGTCCCACAGGAACACCCAAACAATCCAGGCTATTGCTCAGGCCATTGGTAGCTTCCACAAACTGACGGTAAGGACCTACTGCTAAAGACAACACCTGCACAATCCACTAAACATGGAGAAATCAAGAGTGCCTGCCTAGAGCCTTCACTACCCCTATTGACTAATGTCCATGGTACGTAAGGTACTCTGCATGCTAGCATTCGAGAAAGGTACATACCATGCCAGTTACAAATTCTTCAACCTACAATGTTGCCCTGCCTACATGAAACACTGGTGCAATACTAGCATAAAGTTTATGAAAGTAACCAACCAATATTTGATTTGAATTAAGGTTCACTCCATGAGATGGAACCCATACTCAACATTGCTTGGGTGGCCAAGAACCTGGATTAGATAGGCCAAGGACCTAGGAGAAAACCATATACTACTGTTCTACTAAAGGAATGTAGCAATAAAATGACTCCTAATGACATTCTGGTACACTCATTGATCCAGGCCTTGCTCAGTTATCATCAGTGAAGCTTCATCGTCTAGCAAATGGAAGCATAGACACAGACCCTTAGCCAGAATGCTTTGCCCTTTGAGGCTCAGTTGTGTGTTTTGGTAGTAAGCCTTCGAAGCCTCCACACTTGGCGCAGTTTGTTCCCAGGCTCTTCTTCCTCGTCCCTGGTCTTGCCAGTTTTCCTTCTTCACACTGCATGTCTTTCTCTGATTTTCATGGTCTCCTTAATTCTCCCCTGGATGGATCCAGCTCAAGATGGCTACAGAAGTCTTAGTTGTTATAAACATCTTGTCTGTCAGGGAACCTTAAGAAGTTCCCAAAGTCAGAAGGGTAAATCAAACTGTTAAGATAATTGGCCATGCTTTTATTGATGGCCACCTGGGTCTGAGCTGTTTCCTAACTAACGCTTGACACGCTAATTGTTTTGGAGAAAAGTCAAGTACATTTCAGTTGTACAGTGAATTCACAGCTTACCTTTGCATAGCTTACATGTAAACCCCTTCCCCCTGCCTGCTGCCCAAGACTTGCTCCTTTCCATGAGTTCCCAATAAGTTGCACGTTGTGTAGCTCTGAATCTGTCCGCTGTTTTTTGGTTCTGTCATTTACTACTGACTCTCACACACTAGGCCTGACTTCTTCTGAAATAGTCCCCTGCCCCGCGTCCTCAGTCTTGCTAGACTTCCTGTTCATGCAGATTAGTTGAGATAAATCAAATAACCCTAATGGGCTATGCTGGCCCTGCCTTCAAGCCCTGTGTTGTTTACTGCAGGCCAGCCTGCAGTTCCTTTCTTCTATAGCTCCTGGAGATTCGGCATGTCTACCAAGCAAATACACCTGTTGGTGCCTATCAATACTTCCATCATCTTAACCTGTATTCTTCTGATGGTTCTTGTCAGGTGAGTTTCCATTATTTCATAAGATTCCCAGGTAGCTGCTCAGATTTGCTTTCCCCGTGACCATACTCTGGTTTTGCTCACCAGCTCCCATCATCACAGCCCCCACTCCACTCCAGTTTCAATCCTTTCCCTATAGCAACTTTCCTTCCCTTCAGTCCCCACTTCTGCGTTTCCCAGCCCAGTCTGAGCCAGCTCTGGACTCTTTCCATGTTCTGATACTTTCCCCTACTTAGTTTTCATGAGCTCACACACTGCTATTTTTTTTCAAACATTCTCAGAATAGGCTAAGCAGGTTCTTAAGGTGCAACTAATAATTTCCTGAGCTGAAAACCACTGTTCTCCTTTCTCCACCTCTAAAGAACTACTCTGTAAAGAACTTTTTATCACCCAGTCATTCCAACTGTATAAACTCTAAGTTCACCATGATGTACAGAATAAGGGACCGAACAAGGTACTATCTGAATGGATACTTTAATTTAGTTGTGTGATGAGTTTCTTACAATAGCAGTTTTATTAAAAAGTAAGATTAGAGTATATGTCAATATTAGAATATAAGTGTTATCACTATTGCTGTAATGCATATTTAAGATAATATATAGAAATTAAAAGTAACAAGTTAAAAGTTTTCTAAAAGATGTCATGTATTTATACCCTGAAAAGAATAATAGAAGTACATTTACAATTATGTGAATGAATAAACTGCTGAAATGTTTTTGAAGAAATGACTCAATCTATATATTTAAATGAACTTTATCCACTTCCCAATGTCTACGTTTCTAATGATGCCTTTACACAATTTTTGGAATTTCTTTTCAGAAATTACCTTCAAAAGAAATGTGATAGACAGTGAAGAAAACCAGACTCGATATTAGTTACCTTAGAATTTACTTTTTTCCATTACGACTTCTGTTATAAGCCAAAAGAGAAACAGCTGTAGCTAGCGAATCGTTTGCCTCGTCCTCTTAACTTGGGTGTCAAATAGCTTTATGTTCTTCAAATTTAAAAAATATATATCTGCTTACTTATCTATTTTATGTGTTGGTGCATGCACCCAAGCATACATATGGGAGTTGGTTCTTTCCTTCTACTATGTGGGTTTCAGGGTCAACAGGCTTGGTGGCAAGTACACTTAGCTGCACAACGACTCTGTATGTATGACCATTTCCAAAACTTTCAGCTGTCTTTGAAGGAAAAGGTTTTCCATTATAGAAAAACTGAATATATAACTGCCATTGATACCAATTTCAAACAAATTAAATAATAGCAGAATCATAACCATAAATGGATTGCTTTCTAAAATGAAATCCTTAAAGGTGAATGTATCATTGAAAACATAAGTTCCAGTAGCTTCATTTGCAAATTAGCTACGCTATTTTCCGACATGCTCTCTGAACATCCTTTTGATGGTAAAACACATAAAAACAGAGAGTGGAATCATGGTTGGGGACTAGAGGGAGGAGAGAAAGGGAGGTTAAGTAGGACAGAGTTTCAATGCTGCAAGATGAAAAGCTTCTGGAGAGGGATGGACAAAGACTTAGCCATTTAAATATGCATAAAGAATGGCTAATGGTACATACATTGTACCATGACTAAAACATTTTTAAATTAAAAAACTAAGTTATGTGACATATACCCACAAAATGACAAAGGAGACAACAGATGATTAAAAACACAGATGATTATACTGTCAACATATAAAATATAAGTACACATAGATGACCGATCATATCAAAATATTAATATACTTATTAATATTTTGCTTACCCCATGGAAGTGTGAAAGCTACACCAATACAGTGACTTGATGTCTTCATACTCCACGGTGCTGGTGCCTATCTCCTCCTCTCACCCAGTTCCGCCCAGGAGGGAGCCTCTGCGGCTGGCTTCCCCACACCCTTCCAGAGCTACCCTGAACACGTGCCTGAAGTGGGGGCTTATCACCTTAACCTATTCTTAATGTGCAGCAGTGCTAACACACGGGAACATATTCCTTCTGTCTCTTCAGGGGACACCATTCCACTAAGCTTGGGTTAAGTACTTTACAAATGTGAAAGGCTGGCCTCACCTCATCCGTGGCTGGTGACATTTAGGCCTAGGGAGTAGAAGTGCCTCTCTGAAGGTCAACTTAGTTGAAATAAATATCTTCTCTGACTTAGGGGGGAATTTTACCTTAAAAGTAGCAAAGGCATCTGAAGCGATATCAAATGTCGACAGCTCCACATACTTGAAGAAGTCTCTGAACTGACTAGAAAAGAGGACGATTTTGGCAAGTGGTTCGTGTCGAATACATTCTCTTAGCATAATCCCACAGCGTAGGGCAATCTGTGGGGCTTCATATCTAAAGCACAAACAAGAGAGAAAGCAGAACAGTTATTCTACTAACAAAATCCATCAATGGCATCAGAAGCACCAGCTCAGTTGTGCTGATCACAGAAACACAGACACTATTTGTCACAGTTCATTCGAACACCATTCATTCAACCCACGGCCTGCTATGTGCTGGGCACTAGTCCCGATGTTGGGGACACAAGAGCACACAGGGAGGTCACTGTCACTGCAGCCCCAGCATTTTAGTGAGGGTGTGTTTGTTGGGAGGAAGAAGCTGAATAGAAAGAATATACAGGTCATTTGCTAGGCTCTGAAGTGCTGTGAAAACTGAAGGCAGTAAACTCGGCTATCTCAAGTGGACTACTTACATGTATGCCTGTGAGAATATGAGGGAGTATTTTAATTTATACTGAAGGAGGAGGAAGAAGCTTCAAGGCAAGAACAAGCTTGGTGAGTCAGAGGAGAGGAAATGTAGCCAGCATGGTGGGATGGAGAAGGCAGTGAGGAGGATCACAAGAGGGCAGGGCAGGACCAGATCATACACATACATTTGAGAGCTAAGGTGAGCAGTTCGGTTTAAGTGTGATGGAGTGTTTAAAGCAGTAAGTTATTTTGTTTTCAATAGAATGCTCTAGGGGTGGGGTGTAGTGCAGTGAGAGCGATTTTCAGGCATGCTGGAGGCCCTGGTTCGACTCCCAGAGTCATCAAAATAATTTAAAAAGGCCCTGGCTACTTGTGAATAAGGAGTAGACTGGGCAGCTAGAGTGGAAGCTGGAGGCAGTGAGGGTGAGGAGGGGATGCCTAGCAACAGTAATGACAGCCTGGTACGGTGGCCGAGGGAGAAAACAAGACTGTAGGTAGACGTTGATGATGCTGCCTAAAAGAAGAGCCAACAAGATTTAGAGATACAGGAAGTGGGGTTGATGAGGAATGAATCCATGCTAAGGATTCAAGAATGATTCCTGTGCTTAGCTGGGTGGATGGTGGCACCATGCACAAACTGATAGAGAAACGAGATAGTGAAAAAGTTAAGAAATTGCCACTGACGGTCGGCCTCAGTTTAGAGATGGCTAATACAAAAGCATTGATAACTCCTTGTCAGCAGAGTACCCGTCTTGAATTAAAGAAAAAGACAGGAGAGAATTATATATAATATAGCCTGTAAGCAACAGATGAACAGTAGAGGACTACCTCCTGACTGGCTCACTGACATCATGAAGTGCAATTATGGCTCATAGAAAAGTACACTAGAGAATTTCTACAGAAGAAACAGAGAAAGGCTGGCACACCAGATCAGCCCCATTTCCAAATAGCATGTCTTTCAAATGTTAAATTCAACATCTGAATGAACACGGGACTGCGTTACATTCTACTTCAAGAAAATGGTAACAGTCCAGATAAGACAATTCCTGTATTGAATGATCCAGTGGCAACCATGTGCTAAATTCAGAGAGACAGAGCAGAGGCAGCTGCCGCTGGAGAACACTGGAGAAGCAGAGTCAAGACAAAATTCTACCATGGTTTTACAGATTGACATTTTCCATTTCAATCAAATTCGCACTAAGATCTGGTTTCAGTGCAAGGCCTACAGAGAAGACTGCTCAATGTCTCTGCTCTTGAAAAGGCATCGAGTGCAGTGTTCTCTGAGAACAGGATGGTGTGGCACCCACAAAGGAACAGGCTTATCTTTCAAACTTACCACAAGTTATGAAAGGGGATATACAACTTATTGTTCTTCTAGCTCTGGTTTTAATATGGATGTTTTGGGTTTAGTGATGGATTAAGTACATAAATTATATGTGACACAGAAAGTATAAAATTTAAGGTGAAGCTCCACAACTTCCATTTTGAATGCCAATTCTGTTTATAAGCTCATTAAGCTATATAGATTTTGGGTCTGGTTTTTGATGTGTTTTTTTTTATTTATTTGCAAATGTTTTTATAATAAAGTTTATTTTAAAAATTTAAAATGAAAAATATCTACATAAATTAATTTTGTCACAGATTATGTTTTTGGTAAATAAAATAAAAAAATCAAATGTCTGAAAGCCAAAACTAAATAATTCTTAAATAAAACTTAAAGAGGCTGGGGCGAAGGCTCAGCGGTTACAAGCACTACTGTACTTGCAGCGGAGCTGAGCTGGGAGCCCAGCATCCCTGTCAGATGACTCACAGCTGTGGGCAGCTCCAGCTCCAGGGGAAGGACAACACCTCGGCCTCCAGGGCATTGGCACTCATGTGCACATTCCCACACACAGATGCGTTTTATACATAATGATAAGTAAATATACAAACTTTAAGATAGTTTATGAAAACTTACCAACTACTAATGCTAACATTTTGTTAAGTAATAAAAAACAATGTACCCTTTTTCATATGACCATATTATTTTTGCATGAAATTCAGATACAAAAAATAAAATTCCGTTTCCTACACATTAGGAAGTAGGCTACTTTACAAAATTCAAATTGCCAAAAAACAAAACCAAAAAACAAACAAACAAAAAAAAACAACCAACCAAAAAACAGTAAGGTAAATAGCAAAGAAAATTCAGGGTGGTACGGATTTAGTGTCACGTATGCTAAATGAGAACCGCTTTGAGTACTATTTCAGTGTTCCTTCAGTAGATCACAGCAGCACAAGATGCGGATATGTTCAGATAGACGTAATTCTCTTTAGAATGGAAAGAGTGGCCATTTCTATTAGCAATCTCTTATGAAAGGAATTTGGAAATCAGCCTACTGGAATTCACTGCTGTTAGATATGAGATGTTATAAAGATGTAAAGAGGGGCATATTTTCTTAAATGTCAAGGAAAAAATACTAGTTACACTTACCTTACTACGAGTAAGAGTATTAGAGGCCATAAAGTAAAGGCCAGTGGCCTAGAGCAGTGTCCTCAACCTTCCTAATGCTGTGACCCTTTAATACGGTTCCTCGTGTTGTGATGACCCCAACCATAAATCTTTCACTGCTACTTCATAGCTGTCATTTTGCTACTGCTATAAACTGTAAGGTAAACATCTGATATCACACTAAAGGGGCCCTGACTCACAGGTTGAGAAGCACTGGCCTAAGGGGTGAACAGGACTAGATAAACACACTATCTAGGACTAATTAAAATCTACACTCACTGGTGAGATATCTGTGACCTTACAGGATCTGGCTTGAGGCCACCAGTTTTCTGTCCCACCTCAGCCCTTGTGCCCATAGAGGACGAAGTTCTCTCGGGCAGAATGTCCCTCACACGTCTGGCACCACAGTGCATCCTCCAGCACTTCCAGGGCCCATTTCAAGTCCTTCGTACTCTTCCTCCGTTGCACCCCACAGAGCCGTCCCTAACCTCACACCTGCACTCTTCCCATCGCGCAGTATCCTGTCACACTGTACTAAGTCCCGACAAGCCGGCTTCTATCACTTCATTTCAAACAACTTCATGTCTGGGGATGTGTTCCACTCGCCCTTTTACATTTCCCTGTTCTTCCAGTCCCAGTGGGCGTCTATGTCCTGCTTATTGTTACTTCCCCTCCCCCATGAGCTCCAGTGCCTAGCATGCTTTTCAGTGTAGGCACATGATGACTCCAATGACCCTCAAGCTCAGACTCAATCTACCGATACCAGAGAACTCTAATGGGAGTCCCTCTGCCTTACACAAAGGCTGCATGATCTCCAGCCAACATCTCTCATTCCTGAATTTAGTTTCCAAGCTGAGACCATCTATAAAAAGTTTCCACTCCAAGTTTTGGGTATAATTAGTTCTATTTTTCCTTTCAGTTCAAGAAGTTTATTGGAACCATCTGTGATGCGCTGATGGTTTAGTTTTGAGAACCGAGAGAACATTTAAAAAGTACTCCACTGGGGAGAGAGTACTTACCAATTCATCCCAGGAGTTTACCCCAACAGTGGAAAATGTCATTCTCCGACACAGCACTTCTTAAAGTAAGGAACACAGTGGGATGTTTGGGAATTTTCTGATTTTCCTCAATATCGTCTATGGGGTCCATAACTCACATACATCACTTCAACCTGACAATCCTGGTTTCCTAAGTTAATGCTTACTATATAAAGACATGTTCCATGCACCAAGCCTGTCTTAGGTTTCGAAATTAGTCTTTATCCTTCCTAATCTGTTCTATTCCTGTCACAGGGCCTGTGACTAACCACACCACAAATGGCTAGCCTAGGGCGGGTCACTGTTTTATAAAGCTGAATCATATCTTCCCTGATTTATAGGTTAGACAACCACAGTCTGAACCCGACTAGTTGTGTCAGCGTGGAGAAGGCGCACTACAACATATGCATGTTCACTATGGCAGCAGATCAGAGAAGATCTTTCTAAACTTACTTAAAGCAAAACGGAAGAGTGAGCGTCTTTAGAGAAATCAACCTCAACTGACCAGGAGTCTCTCTCCCTGCTGTCTAGCTTAGGAAGTACAGGAGGGTACTCTGCATGCTGATGGAGGAGAAAAGACATCAGCAGTCTCACCCACCACTGGATCCCGCACGTCAGAATAACAACCTGGCTGGCACGATGTCCCCATTGGTGCAAACAGTGGTGTGATGGTTACGGGGTAACAAAACACTTTCTTTCGTCTTTTTCTTTAAATTAGATAAGAGGCCTGGTCCATAGGAAGGATTTCAAGGACTGGTATTGTAAAACTGGTATCAAAAACCTATGGTCAGGGAGATCAAAGGCTCTACAGGGAGTACTTACTATTGCTATTAAATGGTCATACTGTTAAACTGCTTTCTAAATGCTTGTTTATACCCACGGATTTGTGTTCTTCTCAACTTTGCTTAAAAAAGTCGCTTTTTTTTTGCATTGCACAGCATTGAATGCAGAGTCTCACATCTGGTCAGGGTGCTGGGTATAAGAAACCCTAAGTGTTCAGCTGAAAATCTCTATTAACTCTTCAACTCCCACACCAGGTGCAGGGAAAAGTTAGAGTGGCCAGAGAGAATATAAGAGGTGACTGATGGGGAGGAGAGCTGTGGAGTACAGACTTCTGGACATGACATGACAGCAGCCCACTCAATTCACAGAACCTGTGGTTATTTGCATAATACCTGCACACGATTGTAGTAATAAGGGCGGCGGGGCTGTGTTCCCAGCACCCGGGCCGCCTGCTCGGCTAGCTTATGCCCCAAAATAATTACACAGACACTGTATTCTTTTAAACACCGCTTGGCCCATTCTCTTCTAGGCTAATTCTCACATATTAATTTAGCCCATTTCTAATAATTTGTGTATGGCACCCCAAGGTGCGCTTACCAGGAAGATTCTAGCCTATGTCCATCCTGGGTGGGAGCTTCATCCCGGGAGCGGGGCATGGCGTCTCTCTCAGGCGTCTGCTCCCTAGAGGAGAGCTGTCAAGTCTCTGAGCTCACTTCCTCTTCCTCCCAGCATTTTGTTCTGTTTACTCCTCCCACCTATCCTCTAACCAATAAAATGGGCCAGGGCAGTGCCTTTATTAGCCAATGACCTTCCTCCATCATACGATCAAGCCAGTAAGAATTTTACTCGGAAGCCCCACCCTAGGCAAAGGAGCTAAAAGCAATTCATGGTTACTGAAGGAATGAGAGTCACTCTCTTTTGGGGATGCAACCACTGATAGTTTGCCCATACCTCAGTGGATGGTTCCATATCTGTGTGCATGTGGACAGCATTAACTGGACTCAAGGTATGATTTTTCCTATATTATGGTGTTATTAATACCAAAAGGCATTCATTGATATGATAAAAATATTTTATATAAGTATATAACAGTTTTAAAGAATAAAAAGCATTACTAAAATAAAAAGGATAAAAAGAGCAAATGTTTCAAATGGTCATGAGTGCAATGACAATTACATAGAAAGTGCCAGAAGAAAAATCTTGTGTAAGAGCATCTCAAGAACAAAGACTGTATTATACAAAAGAAAATGACTTGTTGTTACTGCTGGGAACAAACAATGCCATGTGACAGCCGTTGGCAAATGTCTTATAAAATGTCATTTACTGAACATTTTACCTACTTAATAGTCAAAAAGATCTACTTCTAATCTGGAAGCATTTACATAATTTAAAAATAATTAATTACCTTGTTCACTGTGAAAGGTTAGGAATGGTAACAAGTCAATTTAAGAACTGGGAGTCTAAACTAATTTCTCTAAGAACTATTCCTCATCAAAGAACCAGAGGCCAGATCTGTGTCTGGAGATGTGAAGTTGGGTCTAGTAGATCTTCTTGCATCAGAAAGCAAAGAAGTTCTTTCAGAATATTTTGGTGAGGTGAAAAGACTGTATCCAGAAAAGGCCACAGTTAATTCAATGTAAAGAAAATTCTGCACAATACTGAACTATGTTGGAATATTTCCTCAGTTAATAAGATGCCAGATGGGCATGCTTGTGTATGTGAGAGGAGATGGAAGTAGAGTAGAGACAGATGCAGATAGGGAGAGAGGAGAGGCAGGAAGTCACCAACACCAATGTAAGTTCCTAGGACAATTACTTATCCAAGCTGAAAAGGAAAATAAGTATTTATTCTGCCTTTCTGATATGAATTCTACTTGAAAATAACAGTTATGGTGTATGAAAGTTATTTTTCTTTTTAGAAAACTAATTAACAAAAGATTGATTTTGAAAATTACTTTCTGTGACCCCTAACAAAATAACTAAATTAGACAATGCTTATCACTGGTTGATAAAAAGATCAATGTAAGGATGACAGAAGAGCCTTATGATTAATTAGATGCTACCATCTGAGCCCAGGACCCAGTCTCAGCATCTTTAGAGGGATGTCTACTGATGTGATGGGAATGTTGACTACGGGGAACTACCAGTATAATACTACTGCCAAAATAAAAGCTCAGTTTGAATCTAATAAAGTCTTTAAACAGACCGAGTCTAGAAGCAAGTAAAAATGGAAAGATTTACTATTATTTTAAAAACTTATTTAATTCAATATTATGGGGAGGGACAATACATATGCCATGCATAGAGGGCAAAGAACATCTTTCAGGAATGGGTTTAGTGTCAGGCTTGTACAGCAAGCACTTTTACCTGCTGGCCACCTCATGCCAGATTAAGTAACAATTTAAATTACTCTATAAGAACGCAGTGTGACAAGTCCACAACAGAGGACACTGTGCAGGACAATCACTTATCAACAGACTCATAGCACAGAAATGTGTGGATGGATGAGGTGTTGAGTGAGAGGGACTTAACATTTTTTGGCTAACAAAAAATCATAACCAAATACACTAAGTAGACCTTGTTAGGATACTTATTTCAATATGTGAAGTATAGGGAAAAAAAAACTATAAGGAAAATTGAGTGTAGGAAGGGTATTGTTACAGAATTTTATTAACTTTTAAATATACTGTGGATAAATGAAGTTATCTTTCTTTTTGAGATACTTATTAAAGTGTTCAGGGAATTGCTTTTTAAAATACCTCAACTAAAAAGGTTGGGTGCCACAGAGACACTGATCTGAACTCCTGAGAGCTCACAGTCTCTAGACAGACAGCTGGGGAGTCTGCATGGGACTGAACTAGACCTTCTGCATGTGGACGACAGTTGTGTGGCCTCATCTGTTTGTGTGACCACTGGCAGTGGGACCAGGATCTATCCCTGGTGCATGAGCTGACTTCTTAGAGCCCATTCCCTATGGTGGAATGAATGCCTTGCTCAGCCTTAATGCCCATGGGAGGCCTTACCCTTTCTGAGGCGTGGATGGGGGGATGGTGGCTTGGAGGGAGGTGGGCAGGGAGCAGGAGCAGGGGAAGGAAGGGGAACTGTACTTGGTTAAAATAATAAATAATAAAATGAGTAAAAAAATAATTTAAAAAAAGAGGGTTGGGTGCTGCACAGTGGCAAGATGGCGTGTACCAAGCTAAGTAGTGATGGCTGAGTGATGGGAACATGAGCTGTTGCATTTGGTACTTTTGTAGATGGTTGGAAATTTTTGCAATGAACTTAAAAACTAAGATTTGGGGAAATATGTGTGGTTTTAACATTAGGTAGAACATCTCATCATAGCTTTGATTTCTTTATGGAACACCGAGAGAACTTTAACGACCTCATTTGCAGCTGGAATGTCACCTGTCTCAGCCAGGAAAAAGTTAATTTAGAATGAAATGGTCCTTTAAAAAGTCCTTTTTATAAAATGTGGGCACTAAGTTCCTTATGCATCACATGTAGATTCTTCTTATTATACAAGTATCAATTTCTTTCTACGTGATACTCCATGTGGCTGGACTTGTGTTTAGTGTAGCATATTACCATTGAGCCCCTAAACAATGCCACTGTTTGATATACAAGTTATAGCCTAAATTTTCAATGACCTTCACAACAAGTAATTTAGTAAAAATGCTGACTTTAACAAAGGGCTAAACAGGAAGTGCCCCTTCCTACACTGGATGAGTTAAAGCTAATCCAGCCAATGTGTCTCCTTATCCACCCTGTCCCCAGAAGCACCAACAATTTAAACTCCTCCTCCCCCCACTTACATCTGAATGAGAATACCTGGAAAGAAGTGGTGTCTGCAGAACTGACTGGCTGAGGACTACAGTGGTGTGGTGGGGCTTTTGTACTGCAGGTCTGAGCCTTATCTTGGGGCTGGATTTAGCCCCTAACTAGTCATTTTCTTGCTTATTTCTGTGTCAGAACACCCTGTGACTGACAGATGAAAACCTTTAGGAATCTATTAACTTGATAAACCACTAGATTCCACCAACTCAAAAGCTAAGAATTATTTGTAATGCAGAGGTAAATGTATGATTTTTATAACTCAATAAATAAATAAAAGAGAACGGCTGACATTGGGCAACGGGACAGAGGGATGGAGAAAGAAAGAGCAGACTCTCAAACTGTGTATATGCCACTAACACAGTAAGACATTTACACATAGGCAGGGGAGGAACGCGACACAGGTGGGAGAGACTTCACGTGCGGCACAGCACTGGAAACAAGAATACTAGGCAGTGAAATGAGCTGTGCTGGCTTGAGATACGGAACAGGAACAGAAAGGGAGCACGGGAGGGGGGAAGGACCGTCACCTGCTGTCTGCATGTCTCATGGCACCTAGAGCACCAATGTTGAGGATTCAGAGTGGCTTCGATATGCTCAAGACACGTGTGTGAGTAGACTAAAAAAGCAATAACCAGGAATTCCTGGAGTTCAGTGTTCCTCTGCCCCTTTATAGCTCTGTGTAAACATCTGTTTATACCCACAGAGATCATTTATCTCCACTCTGACATGTTAGCTACTGCAAGAAGGCTTAGCCCTATCGTTTGAGTTGGAGAACTAGAATATGTATGTGCGCCAGTGCATCTGTGTGTGCAATGATGGGACAAAAGATCATGCAAGCAGAAAAACAGTAATAGGGCAGGTATGCACGGGGAAGACGAGGAAGCAGAAGAAGTATATAGAAAGACATGGACAGCAAGAAGGCAGAGGAAAGAGAGGCAGGAAATGCAAACAACACTGACAAGGGGAGAGCTCAAAGGAAGGATGTCCTCTAGGTTTACGCCATTTAGAGCCGGATCTGGAGGGCTGCTCTTACCTTGCAGACACTGACCCTGCAGTTCTGGGGCCAGGGGGCACACTGCATACTTTTTAACAGCTACGCCTGAGAAGCCAGGTACCTACCCTTTGAGGAGCATGGACAGGATGTGAGGGTGAGAACTGATGTACTCCACAGTAGGACTCCGTGCACCAATCTGTCTTCTCAGGATGTTGTTGAATATCTGGGTCACATCTTTTTTTCCCTGTTAAAGAGACATGTCACCATTAAGTAATACACTTTAAATGGATGAACTGCATGACGTGGGATACAGACACACATTCTCATACAGATAGTGTCACCCAACATGAAATGAAGAAGCAGTAGTTTATTCTGTTCATTTATCTTCACAAAGTAGACTAACTGGGTGCAACGCTTCACCCAGTGCACACAGTGGGGACCTTAACAAGCTAAAGTCCATTTACACAACTGGAAATAGGAAGGCACAGATGGGTAGAAAGTAGCAGTAAGAATTGAATTTTTATGCTTTTTCTCCTTTTAGTTCTCCCAAGAAGAAAACAGTAACTGATATTTTTAAACCTCCATAAATGAGAGAAAATAGAACAGAAGTTAAAAATAAATAAAATGTGAGGGTCAGATTCTTCTTTCTTGACATATAATTCTGGGGAACACTATCCCTTCAGTTTATCTACTCTTTTACCTTGGATCCTTTAAAAAAAAAAACTATGTTTTAAATGATATATACATTTAAATTGCAAGTTTTCCGTATGTAATATATAGTTTGCATGTATATGTCTTACCTATGTGAAAATAGACTAGAGGAGGAGAAGAAGAAACTTTTGGTCCCAATTGACTGAGTGAGAACTACTGCCAATCTTGGAGAGAGACGGTTTTTGAGTTCTTACACATCTTACCACCTGAGCTGAGCCTGATCCTCTAAAAGAATCCATGAGCTGGACCATGCCTCACATATAGAAAGAGAGGCAAGAATGACACCAATCATCCTGCTCTTTGTCAACTGATGGCCAAAGGCTCTGACAGTTACTCTGTGTCCCCTTCAAAGCATCTTCACTCTGCAAAACCAGCTACCAAGAAGTGATGGCAGTCTCTTCCCCTAAGATCCTCAATACCTCCCTTAGGCTTAGAAAAGTCCAGTGCCTTCCATTACATGGCCCTGCCTGTTGCTTTGCATTTCTGCACCAGGCTCTCTTACTTCCAACTGACCGTATGGCGTATGCTCACAGTCTTCAGTATTCGTGCAGCTCTGGCTCATGTTCTCCTTGTGTCCTACATGCAGTTCTACAGTTCATTTTTTAAGACTCAATAGGGTATTCTACTCTGAGATGAATGTCCTTACTATATTTAATAATACATGCAGATCTCTGAGTCTGAGGTCTACAAAGTGAGTTCCGGGACAGCCAGAGCTGTTCCACAGAGAAACCCTGCCTCAAAAACCCAAAAACCAGACCAAAACAACAACAACAAAAGGTAAGCAAACAAATAAGAGTGTATCATCAGATACATGGAATACCCATATATCTCTTACCATAAATAGGGAACTGAACCCTCTCATTTTTAAATTTGTCACTTTTCAATACAAAAGACACACTTAAAAAAAAAAGACCCAAAACCCAAAAATGAGATCAATAAGGTTATTCATTATTAACTCAGTCTTAAAACTGTTCCTGTCCTCTCCAGGATCTCATATATTCCTAGTTGGCTTCCAACTTGCTCTAGCTAATAATAACTGAAACTTGTAATCCTTCTGCCTGTACTTCTTGAGTGCTGGGATGATAGGTCTGCACCACCACACCAGACTGATGCAAGATCTATGATTAGGCAGAAAGTTCTTAGCCTTCACAGTAACAAGATAATGAAGTAATAAACTGATTTCATGCATGCCTTTAATCCCTGGGAAGCAGAAGCAGGTAAATCTTTGTGAGGTTGAGGCTAACCTGGTCTACAGAGTGAGATCCAGGACAGCCAGGGCTATGTTGAGAGACCCTGTCTCAAAAGAACACACCCACCAAAACAAACAATCAGGGGCTGGGGAGATGGCTCAGCAGTTAAGAGCACTGATTGCTCTTTCAAAGAACCTGGGTTCAATTCTTAGCACCTACACGGGTGGCTCACAACCACCTGTAGCTCTAGTCCTAGAGGATCTGATACAACCTCTGTGGGCACTATCCATACATGGTGCACAGTCGTATGGGCAGGCAAAACATAATACACATTAAAATAAATAAAATTAAAACCTAACAAACAAGCAACGCTGAATCCAAAACAACTTTTGTTCTCAAAAAGTTTCTGTCAATAAGATGAAAAGAGGGCAGAGTGGGGAAAATACTGTAAAAAGCATCCACAACGAAATACCAGTAGCTAGAGTACAGACTTAACAGGTGAAGACATGAAAGATACTTCATTCACCAAAGAGGCCATGTAGCTAAAGACAGGAACATCATAACCTTCAGGAAGTGTAGGCAAAAAGCGCCACGAGATGTATATTACTCATTCTGACAGATATGGCTGAAATGAAAACTAAAGACAACGGGAAATACAGCAAAAATGAAACTCACACTGTTAACGGAAATGTAAAAGATGGGGCAGGGAGATGGTTTGGTGGATAAAAGATAAACGCACTTGCTGAGGGCCTGAGTCTGATACTCCCAATCATGGCGGGAGTGGTGCAGGAGAATTGACCATACAGCCAATCCACTGTGCCAATAAAGCAACCTTGAATCAAAGGATGGAGTCAATGATTGGCTCACCAGGACTAGCCATAAAGTTTTTGGAGGGTTTAGGAGCCCCTCCCCCAAGAGGAGGAGGAGGAGAAGGAGTTCTGGGGAGTTTCTGCTGCTGGTGGTTCAGAAAAAATGTGGAGAGAGGGTCAGTCAATCACTCTGCTTTCATTGGATTTTTCAGGTCTTTATTTCAATTTCTGACTTACGAGGTTTTATTATACTAGAATAAATTGGGTAATCATTACATGTAACAGCCTCATGGGAGAGAACCCACTCCTGAAAGTTGTCCCGACCTTCACAGGAGTGAGCTGTTGCAGGTGTGCCTATGCACACATACAAAAATAGAAATAAATATGAAGTTTTAGAAAGGAAATGTAAAACATTTCAGCATTTGTCTAAGAAACACATAACTAGCTAGCCTATCAGGCACTTAGGCAATCATGATGGAGGAAGAAGTACATGATTACCCGACCGTGATGCTCATGCATTACTTGTAGTAGCTGAGCTGGAAACAGCCAGAAAATTCTGCAGCAGTCAAATGGTTAAAAAAAACTGTGGTCATTCAGCAGCCAGAGTAATAAACAGATTTAGTTTAGTAACTTCGATGGGTCTTGAGAAATTTGTCCATTATGAAAAACCAGAAGGAGAAGGTTCCACACTAGAAAGCTCCATCTATATGAGGATTTTGAAATAATCAAGTTCTAGAGAACAGTCTAGTTTGAACAGCTATAAGTCAGGGATGTCTGTGGTAACGGAAAAGATCCACATCAGATGCTGTCAGCGTTGACAATCTGGCTGTGTCAGTTTTGCAGGACTTTATTCTCCCAAAAAGAAGGTGAGGTCCATGGAAGTTCTCTGACCCATTGCTTACATACAGGTAATTAACTACTTCAAAACAAAGAGGTTAAAAAAACAAAGAGGTCAAATTTTTAAAAGGCATTTTTCTTTGTTGATCATGTTTTAAATAACAAAATTCAGCTCTATTTTTATGTAGACACAAAGAACTATCCTAGTTGCTACAATAAAGAGCAGCCAACTGCTCGGTATGGTAGCTCACAACCATGATCCTAGCTTGAGCTACACACTGAGACTGTCTCAAGAAACAAATCAACAAAATAACTAAGCAATAAAAGACTTAGTAATGAACCTAAGTTCAATCCTGGAAGGAGAGAACCAGCATCTGCTGTAGCACACACCCACAAATACATGTGCTAAAAACTGTGGTCTAACTAACTAGTAGAAGTAAGAAATTGGAATGTCAAAATATCAACAGATGATTTAATATCAGAAATAGCTACAGTTTTCCATTGCTGTCACTTTCTTTCAGAAATATTAAGAAATTAGGGCAGAAGGGGAAAAGAGGGTGGAAAAATTAAGTGTGTGTGGGGGGGTGTTGGTTGATTTAGGGGACTGAGAAGACAGGGAAATAAAAACTCAGTACTGTAAAAGCAAATTATTTCTTTCTTTAAAGTATCTCACCATACCCAAATGCAAATTTTAATAAAAAAAAAAAAGCAGGACTCTTGAGAGCCTGTGATGTACTTAGAGGAGAAGGACTGCGAGGCACGCCCTAGCCCCGTCCTACCCCCACTTTGGGAGGGGAGCACTTCAGTCCATAAAAAATGTTCATAGTACCTGAACTTCTTTTATGGGCGCTGTAAGTACTATATTCGTTGTATTAAAGAGGCATTTCTGTAAGCATAAATGTAGCTTTAACTGAGAGCAATCCTGTGGTATGCAAATCTTCCTAGACTCTGCAGGGCAGTACCGTGGACTAAATGCCAGCCCTGTTCGAAATGTCCTAAGGCTCTGTTTTTCATACCTCCCAGTAAAATGCCACAAAAACATTTCCACAAGGCATCCCGGTGACCAGCAGCAATGCAGCTCCACAGAGCTCCGTCCAGCTTCCACACAGAGGGAAGCATTCTTCCAGTTCCTTAGCAAGTACGTGCAGAGGCAGAGGGAGCCCCTGTGGGTAACAAGTTTTGCTACTAGAGACCACTTCTCAAACCAGACCAGAGGGTCCAGATAAAGAGAATTAGAGAAAATGGGAATGCAGAAGTTGCCAGAGAAGTAAAAAAATAGAAAACGACTAACATGTTGTAGATTATAAGGAAGCTACATCCCAAAAATGAACAAAAATAATGCAGTAATTTAGGATTACATATTAATTAATGGATTTTCAGCCTAAAGAGCACTTTTCAAGCAGGATTTTGCTGTAGCTTTGGAGCCTGTCCTGGAACTGGCCTTGAACTCACAGAGATCCATCTGCCTCTGCCTCCTGAGTGCTGGGATTAAAGGCGTGCACCACCACCGCTAGGCTCTGAAAAGCACGTCTTAGCTGGCAAATCCATAAAAGGTGGCAGCTATCTGTTTAATGAATTAATGAATGGCATGCCAGGGAGTAGCGACTGAAATCAAACAATAAACTGAGCAAAGGAGTAACATGGCCAGAGTAACTGCTGGTAAGTGCAGAGACAAGGGAGGACAGGGTTAGAAAAGA